TTTCATTAGTGAACTGATATCGTGTGTAACTGTAATATGTTTGATAAGAATTTCATTAGTGAACTGATATCGTGTGTAACTGTAATATGTTTGATAACAATTTCATTAGTGAACTGATATCGTGTGTAACTGTAATATGTTTGATAAGGATTTCATTAGTGAACTGATATCATTGTGTGTAACTGTAATAAACTTGGTAAGAATTGTATTAGTGAACTGATATCGTGTGTAACTGTAATATGTTTGTTAAGAATTTCATTAGTGAACTGATATCATTGTATGTAACTGTAATATGTTTGTTAAGAATTTCATTAGTGAACTGATATCATCGTGTGTAACTTTAATATGTTTGTTAAGAATTTCATTAGTGAACTGATATCATTGTGTGTAACTTTAATATGTTTGTTAAGAATTTCATTAGTGAACTGATATCATTGTGTGTAATTGTAATAAACTTGGTAAGAATTGTATTAGTGAATAGAGCTTGGTAATTAACTTTACTGATTGATATAATCAATTACTTATGAGCATTAATTACACCAATTACTATCAAATAATATAATTAATTAACTAAAATTATGCTCAAATCAATCAATCAATGAAATTTGATGATAATAATCAAAACCACCAATAATTGGAAACATTAATTTTGGTTAAATTTATTAAAGTCATGAAAATACTCAACTAATCATAATTTTGATAAATCATTTATTTTATGTGACAGTAATTGATGTAATCAAATCTAATCGGTAATTCATTGCATCAATTAATTATCCAGCTCTAGACCCCCCATTTGAAATTCTAAATTTAAGTTGTTTAGTTGTAATTAACATAAAAATAATTTGGAAAATTGTGAAAAAAGAAAAAAATTGATTTTTCCGAAGCTCCAAAAGTGGAAGGAAGCGTACAAGTTTGTATCAATGACACAAAGTACTAATTTAGGTTTAAAGAACTTACCTTAATATCATGTTCATTGGTCCAAACTCCTTGTTTAACAACACCAAATAAACCTATCCCAATTTCTTTCTTAATATCAACGCTGTCGCTAGAAATCACCCTATCAGGAGAAGATGATGGACTCGAAACAGTATTGATATTTGTTTTTGAAAAGATGGCAAACATTCGGTCAACATCTTCCTTAGACTTTGGTAGCATTTTTCTATAAAAAAAAATTCATAAAGAGTTATACGAATATAATTACCTATGTACGAGAGACTATAATAGGATAAGTCATAAGAAGTCACTACATTAGTAGTTGAAAAAGAAAAAAAAAGACTTATCTGGAGTTTAACCAATTTTACGTTAGACTGGGATCAAGTTCTATGGCTTATCTATTTAAAAATTTTCTACTACACATTCAAAGAGAATAAAGTATTTATAAATATTTACAAAATACACAAGACAACCAATAACTACATACATATATGTACTCAAATTCGATGACGAGGAACCCACTTTGAGACTAATAATTGTTGGAGATGGCTTGAATGGGTAATGAACTTTAATATAAGTTTAACATAACAGCAAATGTACCATTCAAGCCGTCTCCAACCATTATTATACATATATATGTACAGTTGTTGTATAAAATATTTTCTGACTAACTATACGTCCGATTCTAATTCAATACATGTAACTGACAGTTACTTCTTCAGCAATCTTTTAAAGCACCATAATAACGTAAAAGTTTCCTGCCTAATAAGCATAAAAAATGTAGGAACCACTGGAGCTGAAATATAGTTCAATATTTTTCTTAACAAAACCACACAGAATGATTACCTTGAAGCAAAACTGTGCTCACTAAAGCTTTAGTATAAACCTGTACTAAACCACGCTTATCTGATATGTTGAACAGTGGCATGCAGTCATGGTACGCAAGTCATGCACTGCATGACTAATCAGAAAACTAAAAAAATGTAGCAATAACATTATCCAATGAAATAATTCGTGTAGCATGACATGATTGAGACTAGACATGCAGTGTTCTCACAGCACGGGATGAGAATGCTGCCGCAGAGCAAAGAAACGCACAATAAGAAAAAGGTAAAATAATAATAACAAATATAAAAGACACAACAGCACGGGATGAGAATGCTGCCGCAGAGCAAAGAAACGCACAATAAGAAAAAGGTAAAATAATAATAACAAATATAAAAGACACATACATAACTAAATTCCAGCCGGTAAGAATAATCTTAATATTGCATAAAACAACTCAATAAAGAATGAAAATTCTATGAATTAATGAGTGAAAGTAACTTATAATGTATAAAAATATGTCAAACGCGCTATACTTGTTATATCCAGTACTGAAGAGGCCTTTCACACTATACCACAGTTCGTCAGGCTAGCATTGATACGATCAAGAGAGACCTTAGTGGTTGAGACTATGGCTATGTGATTTAATCGATTATCTATGAGCGTCAGTTACGTTAACTAGTGTCTCGTAAATTAACCCATTAATGAAAATCACAATTAAACTGATTAATCAAAATTAATATTTCCAATTATTACAATCAGCTAATAAAAAATTAATGTTTTTTGATTATTCCAACTATCCAAGTAATCAAAACATTGCTATTATGTTTGTTGTTAAGTACAAAGTTACATAATGGGCTACCTGTGCTTTGCCCAATTTTAGCCTTATAATGGTTATTTTTTTCTTCAAGTTTGATCAGCTTTGGTAATTCAATTCTCTTTGCCACCAAACTTGTTCACCCTGTCTTTCTTCATCACGGCAAAGGTACTATGGCTATCTGCCACTGTAATTAATTTTGAGCTACTGAATATACGGGAAAAAAACTTGCTGGCAACACGCAGCACCAACTTTTTGGGGATTTTTTTTTAACTTCCTTAACTGCTGACTAAAAGGAAGGCAACTGGATGGCATCATCTACCATCCACTTGCTTGTTCATACCATTGTTTGAAAATTACTATACTAATCATTTAACCAAATGTAATTAACTAATGAGGCTACTTATTAATCAATTAGCAAATACCACTAATCACCAAGTTCTAGTTAAGATGCTATTTATATTATCCAACTGGACAAACAACACCTATTACAATGTTAACAAGTTATTAAGTTCAATTTTTATCAATGTTATTGAGCTATTTACAAATCAGAATTAAAGCAAGGACTAATAACACAGTATTATTATTTTGTTTTTTTACTTCAGTTAACTTTTACTCATCACTTAGAAGAACTGATAAACCATCAAACTGGTGTCTTTACTACCAGAGCTGGTCAAGAAACCAGAGCATCAATGGGAAGAGACTACACTAGTAATTGTTAAAACTTGTAAGTCAAATGATAAACCATCAAAGTGTCATTACTACCAGAGCAGGTCAAGAAACCAGAGCATCAATAGGAGGAGACTACGCTAGCAATTGTAAAAACTTGTAAGACAAATGGTAAACCATCAAACTGGTGTCATTACTACCAGAGCAGGTCAATGGGAGGAGACTACACTAGTAATTGTAAAAACTTACAAGTCAAATGATAAACCATCAAACTGGTGTCATTACTACCAGAGCAGGTCAAGAAACCAGAGCATCAATGGGAGGAGACTACACTAGTAATTGTTAAAACTTGTAAGTCAAATGATAAACCATCAAACTGGTGTCATTACTACCAGAGCAGGTCAAGAAACCAGAGCATCAATGGGAAGAGACTACACTAGTAATTGTAAAAACTTGTAAGTCAAATGGTAAACCATCAAACTGGTGTCATTACTACCAGAGCAGGTCAAGAAACCAGAGCATCAATGGGAAGAGACTACACTAGTAATTGTAAAAACTTGTAAGTCAAATGGTAAACCATCAAACTGGTGTCATTACTGCCAGAGCAGGTCAAGGTGTGTGTAAGACATATACCACCATTTTATTTAGATAACCAATATTATTGAAGTATGAGAAGCTAGATTTACATATTTTCTTCTTTCTTGCTTTGTTTAACGAAATAATTTCTTAGATATATATATATATATATATATCATCCATTACAGTTTCACAAATTACTAGTGTAGTTTTTAGAATCAGTACGTAAACAATGCTTATGGTCCTGATTTTTTTTCACTCTCCTAACCTCTAAAATAAATATTTTTTATAGTCAGCATATGTAAAGGTTTGGAGGTTACATGCACATTAAAATGGTGATTTCAAACCCAATACTATCTACGATTTCTCATTTCACCTGGTAATTTTACAAATTGACAACATGCTGCTGGTGTGCATGTGATAATTGTTTTTTATGTATAACTAGTGATAAGTTTTAAAAGTGATGTTTATCATGTGTTCAAGCCTATGTTTGCTGACAAATATTATTTATTTTATACTAAAATGTTGATTTATGTTTCAAAATTTACTGAAGATACTTTGCCGGTAATATAAAAAACACTGCACTTGGAAAAACTTAGTTTAAATATCTATCCTAAAGTAGCACCCAGACACCATGGCCTTGCACTGAGTTAACACCCAGACACCATGGCCTTGCACTGAGTTAACACCCAGACACCATGGCCTTGCACTGAGTTAACACCCAGACATCATGGCCTTGCATTGAGCTAGCTACCAGACACCATTATTGTGCACTGAGCTAGCATCCAGACACCATTATCGTGCACAGAGCTAGCATCACCATTATCGTGCACAGAGCTAGCATCCAGTCGATCGGACCTTGGACTTACTAACAGGACTAAAGGTTCACATTGTTATACTGAATTTTCAGTACTAACACCTTACTGATGAACACCACTTTATCAACTAATTGAAATGTAGGGTTTTTTGCACTTATCCTGTATGTACACACTAATTTGTACACAAAATACAACAACAATATACTCCATGCACAGATAATCTAAACCATTATCAAACATGTATCAATATATATTTAAAACTAGCTTTAACACACAAAATTCCTGAACAATTCCTAAATCATTATCAGACATGTATCATTACATACTTAAAACTAGTTTTAACACAAAATACAACAACAATATACTCCATGCACAGATAACTAAATCATTATCAGACATGTATCAATACATATTTATAACTAGTTTTAACAC